TCAAGATGGATTTTCCTGAATCATCTTGTCAAGGAAACAAGATACTTGAAGATAATGAACCCTAGTTCGGTTGAGAAAGGGTATTTATCTCCAAAATCATCCTGTGAAACCACTCACTTTTCTTGGGGGTGATTCACTGTATGACCCGAATTTTGAATTTCTACCAGTGACAACTTTTACAGAGACCGGATTTGATTGGCTATGAAGCAATTAAAGAAAGTAAGAAAGCTATATAAACTGAGCTCAGCGTGTTTGGATTACTTCATTATTTTCAAGACAATGTTTTTGGCTGAAAGGTTTCATTTGATTGTAAAATAGACAGACATATCTGCATGCATATATAAATGTTTTATCACTTCACATTAATTTCGATCACGTTACGTTACATCTCCTTTGAATAAAACTTGATCTAGTTTCAAAGCTTAACCGCTTTATTTGTATTTTAGATTTTAAAAGTTATACCTTTACATTGTAAATCCTCTTTGTAACAAATAAACAGAAATACAAAAATAATATCGACAGATACTCAATTTAGTTGATATTTATAGAGGAAGAAAAATAAGTGATGTAAAAAGATAGTGTTGGTGAGATATTTGAAAAGATATGTACTATTCGTATATGGTATTGCTGAAATAAATAGCTTCTGCTTGTTGTAGTAAAAAACACAATTTTTGTCCATTTCTTTGCATAGGAATGTGGAGAACAAAAGAACAATAAAAGGTGATGTGTTAATAAATTTTTGGGTAATACTTATTATCGTCATGGGAATAACTTTGGTTTTAATTACGTGAATACGAGGAAGGATGTCATTGTCGAATGTGGTTTGGAAAAAGATATTCCTTTTGGTTGCCTAATCAAGCGGACCAGAGATACGGGAAAGCTTTTTGTGAAGCCATCGACAAGCAAAAAGTAACTGTGGATTTGGAGTCTTGTTTCTTCTAATTATAGCTACGAAATCAGATGTTTCTGAAAAGGAACACAGTACTGAAAAAGAGATGTTACACGCCAATATTAACATAAAAATAGCTTTTAACGTATGTTATTTTAGGCTTTTGACGTCTAATGTGTATTAGATGTCGGTCCATGCTATGTTCGACGTCTAATGTCTGCAAAAGTAACCTTTAAATTCTGATTTTGCAGCTTCTGACAGACGATTTGACGTCTGATATGGAGAGAAGAAGTTGATTTTCGGAGAGGGTGGGAGGTAGAAGATGGGGTATGAAGGATAAAAGAAGATTTGAAGTAGGTTTTGGGGGACTCGAACGTCTATTGATGTAAAAAAAAATTAATATTGGGTTAAAATAAGATATTTTTTACCTTGTTAACGTTATCTGGGAGAACCGACGTCTAAAGAAGAATTGACGTAGGATTGGAAGGAAAGAAAAGAGGGGAGTGAAAAAATGAAAGAGAGAAGAGGGAAATGGAAGGGAACAGAGTGGAGGAATTGTGTGAAGAAGGAGAGGGGGGGGGGGGGGAGGGGGGGGGGGGGGGGGGGGGGGAGGAGTGTGGAAAGAGGAAAATGGAGGGGGAAAAAGAGGGAAAGACATGGAAGGTGTAAGTAAAAAAAGGGTAAAGAGAAGGGGGGAAGGAGGGGATGGGAGGGTAGAGGAGTAGGAAGAGGGTGAAGGAGGGAAGGTGAAAGGTAATGGATAAAATAGGGAAAGGATAACAAAAAAAAAGGGGTTTAAAAACAAAGCAAATAATAAGGCACCCTTGGAATGATGTTGAAGTTGCACAATAAATCTAGAGTTATCGAGAATGATATTCATTGGAGAGATACAATACTGATTAAACCTAAATCGAATTATATAAGGGATTGACAACACGCTTTATCTAAAAACTTAAACAATGGGTTACGGTTTCATTGGGGAGATACAACACCATGTTGGACCTTAACCAACTACATAAAGAGATTGACACCACTCTCTACTAAAAATCTTAAAGTAATGTGTTAAATGGATTTCAACCTTATATGATGTTCTACTATCTTATTTTTATCCCTATAGACTGGACCTCACACTTGAAATTTTAATTACTAAGTTAGGCGTACGATGTTAACGAACTTATAATCTCTTCTTCCTGTCTTTTCAAAATTGTCAAAGATTTATAATTTCTAATTATTAGTGGAAGAATTGAACCTCCAGCATCACACACCTCTTCATTCATTTTACCACTAAATCTTCTATATCTCCGTGATACTATCTTGATATATAAATCATGTTGTCTTTTGTAATACCTACTATTCACAAGAATTGTATCATCAGGAAGAAAACTCCATGTATGTACACTGGTCCTTGATCCTATAATTTTGCAAAGGAATGACATGAGCTACTACAACAAAAAGTTAGGCAGCATGAGAACAAATTCACTGCAAGATGAACGTGGATACGTGTTAGGGTACAAACACTTACTATTCATTCATGAAATCATTCATCTGCTTTCCCATTAGAGACATTCCGTTCCACAGACGATTAATCTGTTTTCGTGTTAACTTTCCATTCATCTAAGACAATGTTTCAAAATTTTGGATTACGCAGTGATCTCTACATTAAAAAATTGTCTGAAACTAAAGTTTTTGAACTATGTAAATAATGTGTAAATGAATTAGAGTATCCTAAATGTTTCGTTAATAATTTAATATTCTTTGATTGATTTAAAAAAAAAAAAAAATAATTTCGAAGACGAATGATTTTTCACATGGTAAATATGTAAGAGTGGAGTAAGGGTGGCAAATGAATCCTTTATCAGTAATTGATGTTTTGATTAACTAGTTAATTCATCGACAAAATAAATATATTTATAACATTAGAATACTTTAGTATGTTTCAACCCATTATAACATATAAAAATAGAATAAATAAAAAGAAAATTACATAACATTTTTACAATTTTGACTCTTTTAAATGTTAGTATTTTTAACCATATTCTTCCAAAAATCATCCTACCTCCACGTTCATTATTTCTGTAATATGTTAAACGTTCAATCAATTAGTAATTGCTACTGTCTCTCAATAATGATTAAAGTTTTTATTGGCATATGGTCTTTTATATGTAGGGGGTGGAAGGAAGGGGTAGGGATTGAGGGATGACTCTGACAGCCCGTTCAAAATAAGATGAGTTGGATTGAAAATTTCAAACGATAAACCTGTCAAATAAGGATTAATCCAGTCTAGCTTGGCTCAGTCAGTTGGTCTGTTTTTTTAAATTAAAAATTAAAATAAAAAATAATTTAAAAGATTAACTTTTTTATATTATATTTTTAAAAAATATAAATAGATAATACTATTATAATTTAAATCATTAAGCCTTACCAATTAAGTTTCAATTATGAATTATAATAAAATAATTTAACATGTAAATATAATAATTATTTTAATTTATTTAATTAAAAATCATAATTAATAAATAAAAGTTTAGAAAATATTTTATAGGGAATTACGATCTACTTTTAATATTTATATCTATATATATATATATATAAACAAATTTTTAAAATATTATTTTAAAAAAATTGAAAACAAATTAAAAAGGTTTAAAGCTAAAATTAAAAAGAAAATAACACTCTAGCTTGTCAACTATGTAGTGGCTCATCTTTATTTGATAAGCCAATCCTACCCAACCCATTTTTATGGGCAAACGATGATTAAACCCCTCTAGTGATAAATTTTCTTTCTTAATTTTATATTTTAACTAAATTTAAAATATTTCATAAAATTAAGTATTTTGATTAGATTATTTTTCTCTATAAAGAAGACAATTCGTCAAACCTTATGTTGGTTGAATACTTACAAAAAAAGAACTCTTGTACATCTATAACAACCTCTATCATAATGATTATACAATTATATGAGGTTTAATGTCTCCAATAGGTCCCTATTTTTGTTCAGAATTTGAAATAGGTTCTTTTATTTTTTTTTGTCTCAATTGGGTCCTTATTTTTGTTATTATTTGATGCAAATAAATCCCTTTCCGTAAATGTCATCAAACGGCGTTAGTGAATGTGCGACGTGGCCTTACACGTGTCAATACTATCCTCAGGCCACGTCACACATTCATTAACGCCCTTTGATGAAATTGACGGAAATTATTTATTTGCACTAAATTAACAAAAATAAGGACCTAATTGAGACGCCAAAAAAATAAAAAGACCTATTTCAAATTCTGAATAAAAATAGGACCTATTGAGACATTAAACCTTATATGAATAGATGTATATTCCTTATCCACTATTAACTCTTATTTTATTTTACTTTCTATAATTTTTTTTTTCTTATATAACTTATTATTCTTTCACTGAGTATTTCTATTATATATCTCTCTTTAGTCCATTTATAGAATTTTTCTCTGCCTCCTTTTATTTACTTACAGTATTTTTATGTTATTTGTATTAAAAATTTATATTGGAGTTATTCTACTGCAATGAAAAATATCGAATTACACATAAAAAAAACATTTGTTGAATTTGAAAATTTATATTAATAAATTGTAACTTTCTAATTGCATTAATATTATTCATCTTTTGAAGTTAGAATTTTTTTCTTGTTAATGCAGTGGCTCTGATGTTGCGGCGGCAGTGGTGGGTGGGGTTGCGTTTTGAGGTGGAGAAGGTGATAGGGAGGGAGACTGTGGTGGGAATTCTTGGTTTCAGTATACGCTAATCTTAATTTTGATCTTGATGGATAAAAGGGTTTTTCAATTTTGAAGAAAGGAAGAGATTGTTTTGTTTGTGTTGTTCGAAAGCAAGGTTCTTGACGCAGATCGATTCTCCAGCCTTCCACCTTCCTTCAATTCAACTCAGCTCTCTGCGCCTTCCCCTGCGCGCCCATGGCTGCATCATAGCACCGATCAATCGACCACATCAAAATCAATGGCGGAAGGCGCATCACCGTCGTCCAAACCCTCCCATTGGACCCTCAAAACCCCGCACCATCCTCCAACCCTACAATCCCTTCCCTTCCCACAACAACACAGTTCACCTCGCTCCCTCTGCTACCCCAAGACCAGCAACCACTCGGTATTAATTCTTCTTGTTTAACTTGCCCGCCCTTAGTTTTCCCCCTTTTGTTGTTTATGAAAAAATTTAATCCAATGGAGTCCTTAGTATCATTAATTCCCTTCGTTTTCTATTCTAATTGTTTATGCATTTGATGTTTGATAATTTATAGTGATTGGAACGAAAGTGCTTGATTGCCCATTTGTGATTTAGACACACTTCTTGTAATTGCTCGTTAGAAAAAAATAACCTATGAATTTAACTTTAGCTATGAACTAAAATTAACTCATGCACTTAATTTTTATAGAACACTTCTCATCTTCCTTCTCTGTTCCTTAGCTGCATACTTGACTTTAAATTATGGGGAATTTCATTTTATTTTATTGTAGGTTTTTTCTTTCATGTGAATGTTAATCCAAAGATGGCCATAATCGTGTTAATGATATAATTGCGCAAATTTTACATGGTGATGAGTTTTTACTTTATAGAAGTTATGCCAATCTATTATTTCATGAACTGGAGAGGATTGGAGATCTAACACTGCAAGTGAGTTTGCCTTACCTGTTTACCTTTTCCAACCATGCTTGCCTCTGTCTACTACCATGGTTTGTTTTTAGGTATTTGTGATAGGTGTTGTATATATAAATTCTTTTCCAAACTATGGTGTGACTGTTTTGATTAATACCAGCTTTTTCTGTCTGGTAATAATACTGGGCAGTGTTATGGCCAGTAAGAGTTATATATTTGAACTGATAATTTGATATCTAACATTTGTGGATAAGAGTTATATATATATATATATATATATTTATATATATATATATTATATATATATATATATATATATATATATATAATTTGAGAACATTAAATTTTAAAATTTTATTATCTGAGATATTCTATTTGGTAACTTTCATTTTTGTCATTTTTTAATCTAACAATTTTACTCCTTAATAAAAAAAATAGTTTATTTATTTAATAGATTAATTAATTGGATTTTTTTTTATATTATTATTATTATAAAATTTTATATTTTTTAAATTGTATTAATTTCTATTAAAACGATAAAATCAATAAATAATAAAGTTTTATATTTTAATAATTATTGTATTTTAATGAAATAACGATGTGAATATACAAGCGCTTACATAAAAGTTAAAATATTTTTATATTAAAAATAAAAATACTGAATCTAAAACCAAATTTAAATTTGCTTAGAAAAACTATATTTAAATGTATTATTAATAAGAGAAAACCTGTTATTGTCGATGATTGTTTAAAGAGGAGAAACAGGGATAATTGTGAAGGAAGCCCGTCACATAACAGTGAACTGAGGACAATGTCTGCTGAATCGCCAAGTTCTGTTCGTAAAGGTACCTTTTCCCTTCCTCAATCAATCAAACTTTTTCCCTTTCTTTTTCTGAATTTGGTTTTTTCTCTGTTACAGTGGTTGTTCATCTCAGAGCCACCGGTGATGCTCCTATACTCAAGCAATCCAAGTTCAAGGTATTTCCTTTGCACCTTCCTCTTTAATGGTATCTTTTATTTCTCCAAATTCATCATCAAAATTGTTATTTGAAACGTCTTTGCATGCTTTCCGCTTTTTGTGAAAAAAAGAAGTTTCTTTATGCCAGCTATGCTTTATTTGTTTTAAATTTAAGTTTCTGTGTATGGGGTGGTGCATAAATCTGAATTGATGGAAGGTATAATCTTGTGCCTGGATTTAGTAAGGGTTTCAATGAAGAGGGCATGCGAATTGTCATAATTGGTTAGGTTAACCCAAATTAATCTTTACATCTTAAATTGTGGATAAGGTCTTCTATTTGTGTCTTCGTTTAAATTTACCTGGACGGAGATGAAGATATGCTAGATAAGTAAATAGTATAGAACAGAAAAGTTCAGTGTGGTTTGTGTGAACTGATAACCAGGATAAACGTATTTATTTCTCTTCTAAGCATAAGAGTAGTAACTGAACAACGTTATCATTTGGTTTGATTTCAAGATCCCAATTTGTGGTTCTTTCGAGCTTGAGAGGCTGCCAATTGTATTTTGTAAGGGCTGCAGATAATGATTATCCAGTTCAGGGAAGTGAGACTATTCATAATACTTCGTATTGATTGCCTAAAATTAGAGGGGTCAGGGTGTGTTCTTGGATCTTGGCTGGCAAGTGCTTGAATTGCTTTGTGTTGGGGACTTAAGTGAGTTAGAAGTCTTACATTGAGTAAAAATGAGTAAAATGGACAATATATAAATAGAAGGATCCATAAACCTATAATCTTAGGGTTTTGGGATTGAAGGTGGTGTCCTAGTATCTTATATAGCTTTGTTTACGACGCATATGTGTTGAATCTTTCTGTGTCTCCCCTCGAAAAACCTAATAGTGGTATTAGACCTGATGGTTCATTTTGGTGATGGTTTGGACAAGAATGATATAAAGTAGTGAAGAATCTTGAAGTTTGAGGATTCTTTTTATAAATAAAAGTATTTTGTTTTAGGCAAGCGTGTCTAGTTGTATTATAATGATGGTAAAATAAATGAAGGGTCATCATTGAGATACTCGTGCTTAAAAAATGCTTCCATTTTAGAGAGAGGTGTTCCAGTGTGGGAGAGACTTACTCTTGACACGAGAGATTGTTAGGAATTTAAGGTGAGTTGGAAGTCTCTCATTGAGTAAAAGTGAGTAAGATGGGCAATATATAAGCAAAAGGATCCATAAAATTATTATCTTAAGATGGGAAATATATAAATCTTATATAGGTTTATTCATGACTTATTGGCGTTGAATTTCCCTGACCTTTGAAGAATCTAATAGTGGTATTTAGAATCTATGGTTCATTTTGGTGATTGCTCGAACGAGTTTGAGGATTCCTTGTATCGAAAGCCTTTAATTCAAGAAAGCGTGTCCTATTGTAAAATGATGGTACAAAGGAAGGGTCACTACCACTAAGATATTAATGCTTAAAAAATGTTTTTGATTGAGAGGGAGTTGTTCCAATGTAGAAGAGGGTCACGCTTGAGGGGTAGATTGTTAGGAATTCAAAGTGAATTCGAAGTCACACATTAAGTAAATATGAGTGAGATGGACAATATATAGACAAAAAGATCCAAAAACATATTGTCTTAAGGTTTTGGCTTGAAGGTGGTATTCTAGTCTCAGTATATAACTTTGTCCACAACTCATTGGTTTCNACTTAAGTGAGTTAGAAGTCTTACATTGAGTAAAAATGAGTAAAATGGACAATATATAAATAGAAGGATCCATAAACCTATAATCTTAGGGTTTTGGGATTGAAGGTGGTGTCCTAGTATCTTATATAGCTTTGTTTACGACGCATATGTGTTGAATCTTTCCGTGTCTCCCCTCGAAAAACCTAATAGTGGTATTAGACCTGATGGTTCATTTTGGTGATGGTTTGGACAAGAATGATATAAAGTAGTGAAGAATCTTGAAGTTTGAGGATTCTTTTTATAAATAAAAGTATTTTGTTTTAGGCAAGCGTGTCTAGTTGTATTATAATGATGGTAAAATAAATGAAGGGTCATCATTGAGATACTCGTGCTTAAAAAATGCTTCCATTTTAGAGAGAGGTGTTCCAGTGTGGGAGAGACTTACACTTGACACGAGAGATTGTTAGGAATTTAAGGTGAGTTGGAAGTCTCTCATTGAGTAAAAGTGAGTAAGATGGGCAATATATAAGCAAAAGGATCCATAAAATTATTATCTTAAGATGGGAAATATATAAATCTTATATAGGTTTATTCATGACTTATTGGCGTTGAATTTCCCTGACCTTTGAAGAATCTAATAGTGGTATTTAGAATCTATGGTTCATTTTGGTGATTGCTCGAACGAGTTTGAGGATTCCTTGTATCGAAAGCCTTTAATTCAAGAAAGCGTGTCCTATTGTAAAATGATGGTACAAAGGAAGGGTCACTACCACTAAGATATTAATGCTTAAAAAATGTTTTTGATTGAGAGGGAGTTGTTCCAATGTAGAAGAGGGTCACGCTTGAGGGGTAGATTGTTAGGAATTCAAAGTGAATTCGAAGTCACACATTAAGTAAATATGAGTGAGATGGACAATATATAGACAAAAAGATCCAAAAACATATTGTCTTAAGGTTTTGGCTTGAAGGTGGTATTCTAGTCTCAGTATATAACTTTGTCCACAACTCATTGGTTTCAAATCTTCCTAATGTCTCTCCTTGAGAAACTTAACAATTTGCAATGGTAACCCAAGATTTCGTGTCTCAGCTCACAGTGGTTGGTTAGGATGTAATTCGTGCTTGGAAGCAGCATGATATGCATAATAATCACTGTGAGGAATATTCTAGACGTAATTTACTTTAAAGTGTACAAAGTAATGTTCTGTTTCACATTTCTGCATCAATATTGTTGTATATAAATATTTTTTTTCCTGTCTTTTTTCTGCTTTTCTTACTTGCCGATTGTATCTGTCCTTATTCCCTGTACCATGTGCATTAAGAATGACATGAAAAATTACTTGCGTGAATCCTCTCGGATACAGGCTAGCCATTGCTGAATTTTTCCCTCAGAATTTCCTTCTATATCCAGTTCAGTAATATGATGAACTAGTTGTAATTGGGTTAAACTATATAACCAAACTATATCTCACTGGTTGGGACTGGTTAAATGGATGATAGATTCTATTGTGATCTATAAAAAAAAAAATTCTTCAAAATGCTTACAGCTTTAGACCTTTTTATATAGTTTATAGTAACTTTCTTTGGCCTTCTTCCTTCCATTTAAACTGGACTCTTTTATTTAATATGCACAGTACTATCCATGATATTTTCTCGCTAAAAGAAATTACACTCCGAATTTGGTGTTGATGGTGGGGAAAGAAGAATACAAACTATCTTTCTGTGTGGATTGTCTGTGATTCTTGATGATAAGAATATGTATAATCTACTCATAAAAATGCAGGTTTAAGGAGCCTCACATTAAACGAAGGAAGTTGTTAATTATAGTTTTAATGTCATTATTTTAGCAATACTTGCAATGAAATCTACATATATTTTTACATGGCAGATAGCAGGAACTGATAAATTCGTTAAAGTGATAGACTTTCTCCGACGGCAGCTCCACAGGGAGACATTGGTAAAATGTCATTGTGTATTCTATTCCCATCTATTTCTATGAAGGTTTTGCATACTCAATTTTGATTTCCTAATTTTGCAGTTTGTTTATGTCAATAGTGCTTTTTCTCCAAACCCTGATGAATTGGTCATTGATCTATTTAATGTAAGACATCACCTGATCCCTTTTTTCCACTGATTTTATATCTTCATTGAATGTAGATCATGCAGATTTATGATTATTGTGCTACAGTTACTAATATTTCTCGCAATTATAATATTGGTCTCATGTATGTTGTGAAAAAGAAGCTGAGGAATTTTTTTATGTTTATGCTACAGTTAAAATTTGATCAATATTTGTTGAAGTTGTTTTAACATTTTGTATCTACCTTGTTTGTAAAATGGAAAAATAGTTGTTTTCAGCTCTCAATATGTATTTTTTCAACCCCGTAAAAGGGAATAAAACTAAGGATCATCGTGGAATTCTGATTTTGAAATCCAATATCCGTTTTCTTTTCCTGTTTTCAAATACTGTTTATGTTTCGCATTATGTCATTGAGTTATTTATTTCCTTTTTCTCTTGTGAGCCTTTTTTTTTCTAGAATTTTGGTTTTGATGGGAAACTGGTGGTCAACTACGCTTGCTCCATGGCGTGGGGCTAAACCCTGAATCGTGCTTGTTGGATACTAAAGCTTCAAATTGTGAATACACATTGATTCCTTTCACAGTACACGATTTCCTTTTGAGTTGGATATTATCACCAGACCAAGCACAGAAAACCTACACAGGACTCTAATCTGGATATTTCTTATTCTTTTTTGTATATTTATGCATGGCTACTAAATCTTGTTTTGATATACATCAAAAATATTTATAGAAAATTAGAAAAAAAATATATTGATGAACTTCTTCATTAATATTTCATAAATGTTGACAATGTTGTGCTTCATTTTATTGTTCCAGATTTTATTTTTTGAATATTTTTTTGGAACAATATCTGATGAGTGTTTTCCAGAAAAATGTTTTTGGAATTGATTCAGTGTGTTCAAGAAAATAAAATCTGGAATAATGGGGTGAAGGGAAAATTATACAGGGTTCAGGAAGAAACTGTCTCCATCTGATTCATTACAGTCCAAGGTTACAGTGACATTTTTTATAATAAGCCCATTTTTCAGATGGGTCTATTAAGGCCCAGTACGTATATTGTAATAACTACAAACTGTGTGTCCAATTGTAGTCACGAAGTATTAAAATAGCACTTGTATATGTTTATTAAATTCGTTTTAATTTTAAGGTTGTATTTATTCTCCAACCAATAATTAGAATCACTTTCCTTTAAATGATTTTTCTAAAATAATTTTAGAAAAAAAAAAGTAATTCTTCAATAAGTTAAAATTAATTTTATTTTTATCCTATATCTTTCTCACTCTTTGCTAGACATTAACCAAAACAAAGAGAAAAACGCAAAATGAAAATAAAAAATATCATAACTTTCGCATAACTAGACATTAACCAAAACAAAGAGAAACATGTAAAATGAAAATAAAAATGTCATAACTTTAGCATAAGTATGAAAATCTTTGTACAAAATTTATATATAATATGATAAATATTTTATTAATGTTAACTATCTTATCATAATAAAATAGTGAATTTTCAAAAAGATTATTAATAAAAATATGAATATTTTCAGTCATTTCCAATTTTATTACTTAATCTAAATAACTTTAGATTTCACCATTTTCCCCTTTTTGTTTATCTTTCTCTCTCCTTTTAATTTTGCCATCCTCTATTTTAAAGAAAAACATTTGAGATATGCTGCACAGTGGGTGAAAAAAAACTCTCAATTATTTTTCTCCTAACTTTAATCTTAAATTATATTTTAATTATAATTATTGTTGAAATTTTGTCAAAAATATAATGTACACAACATTTACATATTATAAGTTTTAATTATAACATACTTTATATATGAAAAAAAAATGTCAATGTATGTTTATTTAATTTATTTACTTTAAAACATGAAGTTATAGCTGAATGATGATCGTAGTTATAACATATTCTCTAAAGAGAAAAAGTGAACATTCATTTACAAATTTTGTTAACTAATATACATTAACATAATTTTAATTATATAAAATAAACATACATAGCTGTATCTATATTACATTTGTTGAAGAGTATTGGAGGAAGAAGAGAGAAGGAAGGAACATTTTTTGTATTGGTGAAGATGGCGGTTCAACCGAACCGAACCACATGGAGGTGTAGGGTAATTGACATGAAGAGAAGGTGTTTGATTGTTGGTTGTTCTTGAGACTGGTTCGTCTGTGTCTTGAGACGTGGTTATTCCCCATTGTCTGCATGTTCTTCAGCAGCAGACCAACCTATGATGAATAACAACAACTTTACAAAATCCTTAATTTTAATTAATTTTTTTGTTTTACCCATTTGAACCATTTCCAAATCCAAATTACCATTAAGTCCCTCATCCTACCACTAGTCAAGTCATCAGGGTGTGAAATTACCAAAAAGGCCACTATAGAGGACAAGTTAAATTTGTTTTAGATGGTTTGGCAGTGAACCTGGACCAATTGCCATCACTGCCCCAATCCCAACCATAGCCTCCATGCAAATGCAAGTAGGTGCAGGTTTCCCTTATTTCAATATTATTTTAATTAATTTATTCACATTTATATAACAATCAATAATAATAATAATAATAATAATTCCATTTACAATAATTAGTTTTAAATTATTAAATTACACTATTAACGGAAAAATACGTAAAAAAAATGCTAAAAAAGTTAGACTTACATATTAGCCTCCTCTGGTAGACTTATTAATAAGTTAAAAGTATCCAAGTTCAAAAAATACATATAATGAAGTTTATTTAATCTTAATAAACAATTAACAACTTCCTTTTTTAATTTTTTATTCTTTTATTCTTTTAGACTTTTCACTTTTTCTTTAACCCTAATTATATGAAATAATTAAAATTTAGGTAAGAATAAAATATAATTATAGTGAGCATATATTTAATACTATATTAATCTTAAATAAAAGTTTTACACATAGATAGATAATTTTATTTAAACAAGAACATGAGTTGCACACAAGTAAACATGAATGTTCTTCCATGATTTATTAATATAATAATAAAATAAAATAATTTAATAAGCAAACCATTCTCTTTGTTTTTTTCTTTCAAAAATTATTCTCTCTTTTTTAAGATATTATCTTCTCTTTAATAATAATAATAATTTTAAACATATGATGTCATTAAGTATTCAGTTCACCGCTTATATCACTTGTGTCATCAATTATCTCTCTGATGCATGATTCGCTGTTCTGCATAATGTAACATCTTACTGCATCATCAAATTTGAACCGTTGATGAGGTTATCACATGTTACAGGAACACTGGAACTGAGTGGAATCCTCTCTGTGATAATAGTCGTGAAGATTTTGGCATCTCTTCAGTTTATTTATTTATTTTTAATTTTATATTTTATAGTATTATATATTATTTTGTCACACTGCTACATGCCGTGGCCACCTCTGCAGAAATCTGAGAAAGAAATGAAAGAGGTGGCACAGAACCCAACTTTTCATTACAAAACAGACACAGGGCTGAGAATATAAGACGAGAGAGAAGTTTGTCTAGAGTTCTCAAGTCTCAACACCTTCAATCCCACCTCAACAATATATCATAAAATAAACCAAAAATCAAAGTAATGATGTATATTATATATATATATATATAAACCCAACATACCCCCTTTAGAAGAGACCCACAAGATATGAATCCCACATGATTATGACTATGATGCAGCTTCAAAGAGGGAAAAAAATGGAAAATTTCCAACCCCATCCCAACTTCCCAACCGTTACAAGCTTTGAAATTTGAGCTCAAAGTCCAACATTCCAAACTTGCATAGATAGATAGAGAGATACATACATGCTACAAGCAGTTCGAATTTTTGGGAGGAGAGAAAGATCTGTGTGGTGTAAGTTAGTGTAACTGGTGTAAGAAGGAAGTCTGTGCTCTTTGGGGGGATTGTTTTCTTGAGAAAAGAGGAAGCAGTGTGAAAAAACTGTGTTAATATGAATAACTGGTTGGGATTCTCTCTCACTCCCCATTTGAGGATTGATGAAGAATTTGGGAGAGAAAACCAAGAGCGTGGAGAAGAAGGAGAAGGAGGAGGAGGGTATCATCCTCGTCCTTCTTCTCACCCTCACTTGTCTGTTATGCCTTTGCGCTCTGATGGCTCTCTCTGTGTTGCTGATTCCTTCAGTCACTCTGCCACTCCTCAAGGTATTGCATGCCACACTACATCCTTTATTTGCACCCCTTCCCTTCTAGCTTATCTTATTTTGAACAGATGATAATTTTTTGTTTTTTCTCCAAGATGAGTAATAAATAACTAAACTTTCCTGCAACAAACTATTGTGATTCTCTACCACTATGAGTGATTCTTTGTTATTGAACGGGTAGAGTGTGTTCTGTTTGTGGATTCAAAGCTTTTGCATGTCGTCTAAAGCAATTTCTTTTGTGGTTTTTCTCTTGATTACTGCAAAAAGTTTTATATTTTGCTATGAATCAGTTCTCGGCTGCATTGATTTTTCTTTCGCCTATTTATGAATTAACAATGAAATTTGTGGGGCTGCTTGTAGAATGGAGGTATGATAGTGCAATAGGTGGAGGGAATTCCAATGAAAAAGGTCCAAAGCTTGAGGACTTTTTGGGCTGCTACTCAAACTCCCCCAATAAAGTCTTTTGTCAAGATTCTCAACATGACCAAAACCAAAGCCAGAGCAATGTTTCCAAAATCAATGTTAATGTGGCACCAAACTTTTGCACCAATGCTGATATTGAAACTGGGGATTGCCTCACAAACCCTTCTTCCTTGCTTCAATCTTTCCATGCATACAATGATAACCCACATGCCCTTATCCCGACCAATGGCATGTACAAGTCCTGGTTGGCGCAAACTCAGTTTTCTGATGTAAAGCCTTCAACTGAGGCAAATGGGTGTAATTTCCAATCACTGTCTCTCACTATGAGCCCCACTGTGCAAAATGGAGTGGGGGCAATTTCCTCTGTTCAAGCTCTTGATGACAATAGGAAACGGGCCATGGCTAAATCTCATGCTAGAGAACCAGTTCCTCGCAAATCCATTGACACTTTTGGGCAGAGAACCTCTCAATACCGTGGTGTTACAAGGTAGGGGCTATGGTTTTTTAGTGTTTATTTATTATCACACAGCATTATATTTTGTTTATTAAGATGATGTTTTTATCTTTTTTGTATTTGGAATTCATGGATTTTGGTAGGCATAGATTGACTGGGAGATATGAGGCCCATTTGTGGGACAACAGTTGCAGAAAGGAAGGGCAGACAAGGAAAGGAAGGCAAGGTGAGATAATGTGTTTTTTGGTTGTGGTTTTGGCTTATGGTGTTATTATTTTATATTAATTTGGTTTATGGTGATTGACCAAGGAAGATCATTTTCAAGACCAAAACAAGTGTTTTAGCCTTTTCCATTCTGTTCCTTTTTTTATTTACTTTCCAGTCTTGTTTTGAAAGAGAATATACTAACGGTCTGTTTCATGCACCGGTTGGATTCTTCTCCCTTTTTCATGGCTTCTTCAAATCTTCACTCAGTCTACCTTGGTGAGTGACACTCCTTCACACGCAATGGTTGTCTATATTTACTCCTTTACCATCTTTGTAAATCTTACCGATTACTATAACACGGAAACTGGTTAGATACGCTACTAGATATGAAGCATTGGAAAGTGTGCTTGGGTTCTGAAGATGATTTATCGGTTTTGGAAAATAATTATATCCCTGTATGTATGTATGTATCTATTATTATTAGGTGGTTATGATAAGGAAGAAAAAGCAGCAAGGGCTTATGACTTAGCTGCACTCAAGTATTGGGGTCC